ACGATTATTTGTTGTTATACGAAAGGGCCAATGCTCTGTTCAGGAAGCAATTAAAAAATTCAAAGGCACTTAGTTTCAAACAAGTCGGTTTCAAGTGGGGTAGAGGGTGCATCGACGTTCCTTTCCGTATTGATTATTTTACGAGCAAAGCAATTTCCGAACGGAATCGTGTCTTCATGTTGTTTTAATACTCTTGAAATCACGGAATGTTGGACCCAAATTCATCAACTACATCAAACCGCTTCGGCGGTTCAAAGTTAGAATCAACAATTATTTGTGATTCCTTTCCGCTAATGAACGGCATTCCGCAAGAATCGCCTCTTTATGTTATGCTTTCCCAGATCGCCTTTAACGAAAATTCTTTGCCGTGTACCGAGAATCGGACATTGACTCTACACGGACGATGTATACAATTTTACAAAAGAAAAGATGGCACGAAGGCAATCAACATCCTCGAATCTATTGCAAGAGAGATCTCCACCTGGGAAAATTCGTTAGTGGCTAAAATTTTTATACAAAAATTAAGAAAAATGCACATATGTCGAAAGAAGATATGCGTTGCAAGAAATCTACTGATGCATATTAATGACTTATCAGTACAAAACGTGCAAACGGTCCATATTCTCAGGCTCATGTTTTCCAACAAATATCGTTAAAAAACACTGTTTTCGGTTAAAAATTCTATTTGAACAAGGCAGTCAGATTGACTTTGTTTTGATAATTTACGGCAATAGCTGCAAATCTAATATCAACATCTTCAAATCGTTCTATCACCGAACCCTCATAGTAAGTTGTTATGCTTTTCGGACGACGCCCATAAATAGTATTATAATTGAAACTGGTCTCCCAGATTTAGAAAATAGACTTTATGAGTTAAAAGCTAAAGTAGTCCCCAAGCTTCTTAATTCAAACAACTCTATTCTCGGTGATGACGTGAGAAAGATTATTATTGCGAAGAAAATTCCGAAGTCACCATCTGCAACTGACTATTGCTTGTATGTCGCAAAGGAATTAAACATTCCCTTAAAAATTTTCCGCTCTTTTGGTGTTAAACCTCCATGGATTTTGAAAGACTGCTCTTTTGAGATTTCGCTGTCTATGGACAAGAAAGAAGATACTCCAAATTACGTCTTCAGGAATCTAATTGCTGAAAAAACCCAAATACTGAAGAGTACTGGTTAGCATCTTCTATACACAGACGGCTAAAAATCTTGTGGTCTGCCTCCTGCTTGTGCCGTGGTAAATCCTTCAGGACAGGTTCTTCTCAATCACATATTTCACGAAAGTACTTCAACTTTCACAACCGAAGCCAGAGTTATCCTTCACGCTGCGAACCTTTCCCATAAAAACAAACTCAAAACTGTCATCGTTACTGACAGTTTGTCTGTATTACAAGCTATACGGAATCCTTCGACTTCAAGATGGAGCACCATCGACAAATTAAGGAATATTATTACAACACCCGACGAAAAAATTGAAATGTTATAGGTACCTAGTCATATCGGTTTATTGGGAAATGAGCGGGCTGCTCGAGCGGCGAAGTATGCTGCTTGTGAGAAAATTACAGAAGAAAATCTACAGGACCATCACTAGCTCTTTTATTAACCCTTAATTAAATCCCCCTTTATATCCAACAAGTGTTGAGAAAATCGAGATCCAAATATTTTCGAGAATTAGCCTTGGTCATACAATTGCAACCCACCAATGGAGTCTGCCTCCCTAATCTGCAATTGTGGACAAATTCTCACTACAAAGCAGATTCTCTGTAATTACCTTAACTTTTCTGTGGCTAAAAGTTTTGTATTTGGAGGGACTAATCCTATGGACATTTTACAATCAGCTACAGAACAGAATATCAATACAGTGCATTACTTTATTAAAACTACTAGGCTCAATATCTAATGAACTTTTACAAATTAGAGCTGATAGTGCTAGTGCGAGTCTTTTTTGTTTTAGTCTAAGAATTTATTTCATTAGTCTAAAATTATAATAATAATAATAATAATGGAGCAAACCGAATGATATTGATAAGCTGTAACGGACAATATCTTACAAACCCTAGATTTTCATTCCCACATTTAGAAGCAAGATTAAAAAAGTGTAAAAGTTAGAATAAATTTAGTGCTATATGCAAAACATTTCAAATTATCTGATTTCAAAAATGAAACAAGTTTAACGGTCTTGACTGACTTTTGCAAACTGCTGTTTCGTCCCATTTCGAGAAATTCGGGCAGATTCTTCACACTGCAAAATTTAAAGACCAATTTGCCTTGATAAGCTTTCAAGGAAAAAAATCTTTTAAAATGCCAACACTTAAAGTATAAAATGCATAAGATGTATGCGTTCGAAAGAGTGAAGAGCGTTTTTAAAGTATAAAGATACTTTACTTTCTTCTGAAAATTAATAAGTAAATAATTAAATCAATAATTTGTTATCTCTTTTCATAATCGAAAGGTTGAAAATAATTGAAAAATATACTCAAATAATACACTGATTCGCAAATAGAACGTATGACAACTAATGTGCATAAAGAAAACAGTGCTGAGTTTATGGCAATCTGTTTAAATTAATTATTAAATTTTAATTGACAGTGGAAAATTGACAACACTCTTTTACAAAATTGTTCCATAACTAATGACTTTTCTTGTACGGCAGAAAACACGAAAATTTAAATCTTCTTAGTCTATAACACTTATCAGCAATCCCTGTTCGCAGGTTTAGTGATAAATTAAAAATAATTTTCGAGGCACACCAAATGTGTTGAAGCTTCTTCCTCGAAAATAATAAAATAAAAATACCTTTTTTATTAGGAAAAAAAAAATTCTTTACCTTTAAACTTCTGTCAACTTTCGTACAACGTTGTTCTTTACATTTCAATTCAAAAATTATTTTAAGTAATTTCATTTCACTGTTATAATATAATCTAACATAATCTATAATCCTAACAATTAAACGGTGAAATTACAAAAATTGCACATGCCAAAAATTATTGTCTCGCAGAACAGTTGAAAGGAGTACAACATATACGCGGCAAATCCACAAGTCTAGAAAATATTATGAAACAACCGAATGCTTCAATCAAACAATAAAAAAATTGGCAAAATTTTCAAGAAAAAAATGAACAAAAGAGAAGCGTAAATCATTGTGAATATTGGAAAGCGTACAAATCTGCGGCCTGCCGCATGCGTCATGATCGTTTAATGCTGGCAAAGTACCAAAATTATGATGAACAAATTTGCTGATCACAACGACGTCACAAGAACAAGCAGAAAATATGTTTTATTGAAAATCGATGTTAATGTTAAAAATGTCTTGTATTTATCGGAGCAAACAACTTTCTTTCTATAATTAAAGCAGTTGAAAGTCGTGATACTGGACACTTTAACAATAATATATAGTTATTAACGACGGTGCAAAAAGCATTTTATAATTACAAAACAAAATAATTTTTTTTGTATATGACGAATATATATTCTTATCCAATTGGACGGGATAGCATGCGTTGATAACATCGTTCTGTACATCTTAATTTTCAGAGTTTTAAGAGATAGTTATTAATATGTAACGTTTCATTGTTTGTAAAAACGTTTATATGAGAGGAATTTGAAGAAATTATTCGATCGTTTCCAAACTTTCTCTCGTCATTTATTATGCCAAGATTCTAAATTTTACTGCTGTTTTTTCAAAAATATCCCGAAAACTATGATTGAATACAAAATTACACGAATAGACAGACAGACGAAAAGGAAAATTTAAATTGATAATAAGATGATTCTGAATCGAATGGTATACTAAAGGGTCGGTCTATCTTAAGTATTTCTTCCGTATCCACTTAACGTGCTCTTACGACAATTGCTATACGTTGTAAATAGTGTAATCTTTCTTCTTATTACCACTTAGCTCACATTTTGTTTATATATAATTTTACAATTTTTTCAATGCAAATAATTAAACGCCTTGTCTGTATTCTAATTTTGAAATTCATAAATTATTTGTGTCAAATGACGGCGTAGAATATTATTCAAGAAATTCGCTGACTACTTTTAGGCTGCTTTACTTTTTGTGCTAAAATTGTCCTGCAGAAGACCAAAGAGAAGCAAATCCAAACAAGCGAAATCGGTTGCATTCTAATTGCTTCCAATGTCTCTTGACAGAAATGTAGTCCATTTTCTGATCCTTTGAAAGGTGCTGTTTTAATTAATTAGATTTGGAATTTTTGCTTAGATTTCAAGACTGGGTGAAATGAATTACCCTCTTTCGCAATTACTTTTTGAATACGAAGAAAAATCTTCTAAAGATGTTTTCTTTGCGAGTCCGTCAAACCCAAAACACTATTTTATTTATTGCGTTGCCATGCAAAAGTTATTTTTGATTCTCACTTATAAAAGTTTCGCTTTGTAACGAGCGAAGTAATTGCTCTCTTTTGAATACTTATTTTTTAGCATTTTGGTGTTTTGCATTTCTACTTTACCAGTGTAAAAAAGTGGTCACACTTCTTGGCGGGCAAAAGTTCGCTTCTTGAAATTTCATGTTCAATATCTCTACGTACCTTCACATCGATTTACTTAGTAATGAAATTTGTGAATTATTATTCACAAAAGCACAAGCAATTTCAACATAGGAACGGCACAAGTATGCAGTCCGAATAAATGCCTTAACTAGTTTTCGTCGCATTTCTCTTTTAAACTCGTGTAATATAAATACATTATATAAATAAAATATATAATTACGGAAACGTAGCTCTCTACGTTTTGTTTTAAACATTAGGGACAAATTAATATAAATAAATCTCCTTTAACGTAAAGTAGACTTAGGAGGAATGTAGATAACTATCAGTTGATAATAACTGTCAGTATAAAAGAAACACCACAGATTAATACCTATGATCCTATTTTTAAAAGAAATCAGACAAGAGTTTTTGCTTTCTTTTTTTACTAACAAAATATATAAAAGCTTTGCAAACATACAGGTCGAAATTTGCTACAAAATATTAATCTTACCATCCAAGCGAATTACCTTCGTGGAAAGTTTCTAAGCACGCAAAAAGCCAATTATTCTCATCGAGACCGGTTACTTCCATAAAAAATTTCTAAAAAGTAAATAATGATGAAATATTTATCAGCAAAGCTAATTAATACTAAGGGTAAAAAAAACGTTTTTTCTGTACCTTATAATCTTTGTATTTTTGGATTGTAAGCAGCTGATTGTAATAATGCCGTAAACCATTTTTAAATAGCTTTCCATAAACTATTTTAGATTGTTCATCCCACACGGATTTATAATTACTGTTGAAGTACAACTCGATTACCTTATGCCTATTTAGAGGTTTCTAGAAATGCATAAAATACAAAAGTTACTACTTAATATATTATTCAAAATTACTAGTGATATCGAATACTTAATACGTAGATAGTTTATATATTCTGCAATATAAACACGCGTCGCTAAGAGAATTATAAATCATGATATATATAAATATATAATAGCGTACCAGTAAGAGGACTTCTGGGATTACAATTTAAATGCGATAACGAAACAATTTTAAAAATATTACCACAAAATAATTCATTGCTGCTTGAACACGTAAACCCTTTTCGTCTAAATAGAATACGTCATTGCGAGAATCAACGGTAGCTACAGCAAAAATGAAGCGATTAATGACCTTAACCAGCTGAAGACACCACACTGAGGACAAGTGATCGCAACTCAACCAAACCTTTGGTATTGATGAAGTCTATGCGCAAACGAAGTAAAATCAAAAACTGGAAAAATAAAACGCCAGAAAGTTTTACCATTGCATGTATGTCAGAATATTTAGATATCGTTAAGGATTCTTGCACCATTAAATCTCTTTTACCACCACCAATTGATATCATCAGGATATTTTCCATGAAACTTGATTGGCTTCGAAAATACGAAACATTTTGATATAAATCAACACAAGTATTCGTTTCGTTGTGTGCCAAATATCGTTCACGATTGATTGACAAAAATTTTTCATTATTCACATAGAACTTTTGGATTTCATAATCAAGATTTATTACGGGAATGTCCAGTGGAGAAGAGATAAAAATTATACTATTGATTTTCGTAAAATCGCCTCGCTGCTCTAAAACCGCTTGCGCCACTTTGCCTCCCATTGAATGACCGATAATGATTACACTTTTCTTTTTTTCATATATGTTTGAAACGACTTGAATGCAGAGTTTTAAAAACATCTTTTGATCTTCCAAATAACCACCGTAAAAGCCAGATAATTGCTCCTTAAAATCAACTGCAGAGGAAAAATTATGCATATTCCATATACATACACATATCCTCGTTAATACTAAATTTCACCATACTTGCAAAATAATTTAACTGTATATTGTGTTCGTTATCCAATGCCTTTTGCAAAGCCACTGAAGCCAATGAGCGCACCTTTTTTATACAAGTTTTTAATTTTATCCGAATGTTAGTGAATAAAGTTACCTAACGTTACCTGTTTAAAAGATCCTGCGTTGCCAGGTACAAATAACACTGGAGCACCTCTTAGCGTTAAATATTTGATATTTTGCTGAACCGGACCCTCATAGTAATAATACAGGCCATAATGGGGAAATTCTTTATTTTCTTTGAATTTCAATTTCTACAAGAGAAGATTAATTAAAAGAATTATATGAATTTACGCTAAGCAAATGCGTAGGATAAGGTGGATTCATGGATGATTCGTGGTATAAATCAAGATATGCACATCTACATTTCTATTTAAGTTACCAAGAATTGGGGTTCACCGAACATATATGTCATGCGACAGGCATTTTCCTCTACTTCTAAAAATATATAACGGGCTCCATACAAAAACCAACCAAATGCAAACGTTATTAAAACCACGATGAAATTTTTCAACATTTCTTACATATCTCTAAAAATATGAACGTTCTTCCTGTTTGACTTTATTGTTTTTTATAATGAACAACAGTGAAGTTTTCAAGACAATATTTTTACGAAGTTGAAAATGGGAGAAGACTACTTCTAATGTTTCAAAATAAAATGAAAAATTACAACAATGCGCACAAATATAAAATATTACGTCGTTCCGCATACTGGGGTGTAATCATGTAAGCAGGCGACATTCACCAATAAAACCTAATCATGTTAGCAATTTTGTTGGTGATTGTCTCCAAATGTGCTCTCTGAGTTACGTCAAATCTGGCGACAATAAAATTGCTGTCGCTGAGACCAAAGTAGTATAAGTATTGAGTATTAATATATATAGAGAGAGTATTAGTATGTACAGAGTGAGTATTAGGATTGAGTATAAATCAAGAAAAGTTACCACAAATCTCTCTTTTTAGAATTGAGTGTGTAAGAAAACAACTGTAAAAGAAAAGTAAAGGCAATGAATTATTAATTTAAAAATACCTTAAAAAAAGTGTGTTCGAAATTACAGTTGTGAATTGTCAAGACAAAGAAAAAAATTGGTAAAAGTACCATTTTTTTTTTATAAATATCGAGTTAAAATCTATTGTGACTTTCTTTTATTGAAGAGGAGAACAAGGACAACTGCGACGCGTAAGAAAGGATCACCACGAGGCAAGTGATAGAGGCTTTGTGGGATGCTTCCGACCCCTTAAGGCTATCTCAAAGCCAGTAAGTAAATTGTTTCTAATATTTGCAGTCTACGAGTGTGTTATACTGTTGTATGTAGATTTATGAAGAAGTTCCGTATTTCCAAAGCGGCCGACTGTCAATGTTGCTCAAAGCACGTTATCATCTAAGGATAGAAAGAAAGCTTTGTGCAGAGGGTAATATGAATATTTGCACATTAGTAACATTTTTTTGTTTATAAATAACCATTTCTTTCTAGATTTTCGATCATCAAATGAAAACGATGGCAGTCAATTTTAAATTTTTGGAATCTTTCCATGGTACGCCTGTGTGCAGGCACTCCGATCAGAGAACTTATCTAAAAAACCGCTGGATTGAGCATAGTAGCAATACTTGGCTGCTCGGTTAGCGGCAAAAAAAATTAAAGCGTCAAAAAATTACAGAGGATACCTTCTATAGTCTAAGCATTGGTGTGTATAAAGGTTAGTGTTACAGCGTTTAGTATTTCGAAAATGCAACTATAGTTTTTGAATATTTCTCTAAGTCGCTGGCGTATTCTACAGGAAGTGCGGAAGAGCTTCTATAGCCGAAAAAGCTGGGTGAAGTCGCATAAATTTGTGCAGCGCTGCACAACATTTGCGTCCACTATAAAGTCGAAGGAGATTATTTGAATATTCCAGCACCGGCGACCTATGGAAATGATAGTTTTGAATTTGAGCACCTTTTATATACTAGTGTTTACATCTCTCTTAGTTATTAACGCATTGTAAAGAAAAATTTGACTGGAAAGTTGGCGACCAATAATTTTATGTATAGTGAGTCACATTAAGTGAAATTAATGTTGGCTTTTTTTAATACCAGGAAGAATACAAAGAAAAAACAGCGTATTATTAAAAATTAATAAAAATAATTTGGTGGGGTATCCATCTTGCTTAACGTCGTTTACACGTTTTGGCAAATTTTGTATAATTTTTCTTGTGTGGACAATAGGGATCTTACTCTATTCTTCTTATAGCCTGTTATTTAGGTCTTGGACGAAAGGGATTGCGTGTTTTGCCGCATGACTGTCGAATTCAGCGCACATATTTTCAATGGGGTTCATGCCTGGTGATTTGCGGAAGAGGATGAGGCATTTTGGGACAATTATATAAGAGCCATTCTTGAACTAAATGGGAATTGCTTGAAGTCGCTATCTTGGGTGAATTGGGGTGTTTCCAATATACTAAGTTTGTCAGCTTTTTCTTTCAAATTTTCCTTCAATGTGCTTAAATAATCCTGTTAGTTTACAATGCCATACATGAACACTAATTTTTCGACTCCATTTACCAATGCATACCAAACCGTAACATGACCATTGCCATGCTCGCTGTGGCAATACCAACTAGTTTAAATAAAAAATCGCAACAAACGGAATGTCCCTTAAAAAAAACGGGCTTAAAATGTTGTTGGGAAGCATGTGGACAATAAATCAGGCCGCTGATTATGCCTCTTTTAGTTAGCTAGTGTAGCATACTCAAAGAGCTTTTAAGAAAATTTGACTTGCTCGCCGTGATTGGGGGGTCCATACGATAAATTAGCCCTAGATAATTTTTATAATTGTTATGTGTTGTAAGTGGAAGTGTGGTGTAATGAATAAACTTGCTTTGCTAGCCAATAACAAACAAAGCAAATTAGTTAGAAATCATATTAATAATTAAAATAAACAATATGAATAATAAATTAAAGGCGAAAATGTGTATCACAAAATCTCTAAATTAATGATTGTGTTGAAAACATTGTGAATTAAAGATTAATACTAAATAACTAATTTTAATTAACAATATTATTTAACTCACCTATTTTAAAACTCGCCAAATATATACATTGGTCCTTTTAATTAAATACGAATTTTTATAATTTTTAATAAAAAAAAATAAACAATTAAATAATTTCGTTCGATATATAGGTAAATACATATCGCCGCTGCTTTGCTGAGCTTTTAGAGTCTCACCGAGGGTTTCGGAACTACGATGCCTCTGCAAACGCAAAATTATCAAAGCAGATGTAGTAAGAGCTATTGGATTTGATGTAGACGGTTTTCGTAATGATAAAACGGCAAGAAGATGGCGAAAAAAGTTGAACATACACAAAACCAATTGCATGCTGATTTAAAAGATCATTAAGAAGTTGGAAACATGCCGGCTTTGACTATAACATTTTCGTTTTTTCAATGTCGATTTGATTGTAAGACATGGCTCAAATGATATGCACGCATATGCCTGTATCGTAAGTATCATAAACCTTTTATATTTATATGGTTTACGTCGGTCACGGCATGGATTTTAGTCTGGAAAAATGTTTGAACTAAACTTGAAACCATTTTAACAGGAATGTAACCACTCTGAATTTCTTTACTTATGAATCCTTTAAAAATATTAAATGTTCAACGATTATTTTCATTACATTCCTAATTCGTTGCAATTTTAATACGAGGCGAATTAATGCACTCGCTGCGGTTTTCATAATCTTGTAAAACATAAAAGTCAATTTTCTTCTTTTCATAAATAAAATAAGGAACTCTTCCAAGTTTTTCTATTTTTTTTTCTTTCTTTTTTCACAATTCAAAAAAGCAATTGGCTAATGACTGCAAACCCAAATCAGAACTGCTCGCTTCACAAAAAAAAAA